CTCATACGGAGTGCTTTTAGGTATAAGATAAGATAAACCAATTAACAATTGAACGGAGAATTTCTCTCTCTCGTATGTAGCGCTTTTAGCTATAGCATATAAATATAACCTACATAATTTACTTCTAGAATATAGACACTAAGTTTTAATGGAGAAGAAGCCACTGCACAATTAGAAAACAAAATCTTTATGAACAAAACCTAACCGTTGTGCGGTGAGTTCTTCCCTCTCAAGAGAGGTTGCCCTTGTAGATCGAAATGCTACAATAAATGAGAGTCAATGCGATCATGAAACTAATTTGTAGCCTAACCTCGTCAGAGATCTTTGGGCCGGAGTTCTCTGATTACTTAGTATGGATAAGTTCCAATTCGATTGTTCTTTTGTTGTTGTTATGGTATTTTTTAGAATAGTTGTTATGGTTGTCTCCCTCAATGTGTGGAGAGGTTTTGTTGTCCTCCAGTTTTGCCTGGTTGGGGGGTTCTGTCCGTCTTCTTAAGTACATGTTTTGTAGAGTTGACGAGAGCATCAAGTTTTTTTTACTCCACATATCTCTACTACTATTCAAAACAAAGTAGGAAGAGAAGATTATTATTATTTATCCATATTGTAGCAGTCTACCCTTCTCAAGAACCACCTTCGTGTCAGGGAGAGATTTGTGGAAAGACTTTATTTCAGAATTATTTCTGCGTTAGTAGTACTTGTGTTTATTTTAGAGTAAAGGGTCAGTTTAGTTCGAGTATGTATGGATGGAATATTTGGATTTTTGGTGATCTTTTGTTACGCAATGCTAAACGCTCGATTTAGGCTTAAATTTGTTCATTTTGTTTCAAATGAATCATGTTCCTTTGTATATGGTGGCTGACTTCATATCTATTCTTATTGCTTACGATCAGATCTATAAGAGCTGCCTGAAGGTTGTCTTGCATGTTTTCTCTATATAAATATAAACCGCTTTTAACATAAAGAAAGTTTTTTGGCAAACGCTTTATGGTGTAAACGTGTCATGACATTATTATTGGATGGAGGTCATATGTTCAAATATCATCCTAAAAGATTTGTGACACTGTATACTCTTGTATTCCTATTTGTTTCATTACACTAGGGCTGTTAACGAGTCGCGCCCGAACACCCAAAGCTCGAGTTCGGCTCGATAAGGAATTAATGGTGTTCGGGTTCGAGCTCGAAGCTCTGTGAGCTTTACAAATGAAGCTCGTGTTCGGCTCGATAGGCGTTCGATATTCGAACTGAGCGCTCGATAAGCTCGAATTTAAAATTTTAGGTGGTGCTCGTTAATAGGTTCCGTTACTTGGGCTCCATAATTTAGAAGGACGGTGAGTTAGATGGAGATTTATCCCATAGAATCAGAACAAGGTGGATGAAGAGGAAGAGTGCGTCAAGATTTCTATGCGATAGAGGTATGCCGACTAGACTGAAGGGTAAGTTTTATAGGACGGCAATTAGGCCTGCATTACTGTATGGCGTAGAGTGTTGGTCGGTGAAGCAATGTCACGATCAAAAGATGAGTGTGACAGAGATGCGCATGCTGCGTTGGATGTGTGGGCATACCAGGAAGAACCACGTGAGGAATGATACAATCAGACAAAGGGTGGAAGTAGCACCTATTGAAGACAAGATGTGCGACTCGTGCCTACGGTGGTTTGATCATGTGCGTAGAAGACCGAGTGATGCACCTGTCAGACGAGTTGAGATGTGTGGAGAAGAGACAATGAAGAGAGGGAGAGGAAGGCCCAAACAGACGTGGGTTAGGGAAGTCCGAAGTGATATGCTTCTTCTTGGGTTAGATGAGGTTATGGCTTTGGAGAGAACAAAGTGGAAGGCGGGTATTCATGTGGAGGAGTGATCTCGTATTATCTTTTCCTCTCATTTGTTTTTGTTTTTTTTCTTGTTTTTTTAATATTTATTTTTTATCCTTTTATCCTTATATATATGAACATTATTTTATCATTTTTAGGTATATTCATCTCTTTTTATTTTATCTTTTTTTCTTGTCTTTTTTTATCTTTATTTTCTTTCTTTTTCTTTTGGTGGTGATATCATGTATCGATTTATGTTAGCCGACCCTAATATCTTTCGGGACCAAGACTTGGTTGTTGTTGTTGTTGTTTTGCTCGTTAATAGGTTCGTTCTCGAATGATTCAACAAGTATTCAGTTCGTTAATAATCATAATTAAATTAATAAAATCATACTAATTAATTTAAAATTTGAATATATATAAATTATATTAATAATAATTTCAGGGTGTTGGATAGGCTCGAGTTCGAACCGAGCCGAATACTACTATGTTCGAGCTCGGCTCGATTAATTTTTCGAACTTAAAACTGTGCTCGGGTTCGCGTTCGAAAGATCGTTAAGCTCGGCTCATTAGGTTCGAAACCGAGCTCGAACTCGAATAGTTCGATAAAATCTCGGTTCGTTAACAGCCCTACATTACACTTTCCAAAAATTTAAGGCTATTAACCCTAAATAGGACTTAAAGTAATCCTAAATACAACAATATGACTATAATCCTTTTATACCCAAATTATGAGTGATATATGTCTCTTCTTTCTTTTCTTTTTTGAAAGAAGGTGACTTAAATTGATATCACAACATTCAGATAGGAAGTAAACAAACAAAAGGACCACAATCAACCGTCAACCCTCGAACCAGACTTAGAGTCAATCATCTTCAAAGAAGCAATATGACTCGTTGATCATGTAATGGGCAATGAGCCAAAGACAGTCAAAGCAGACCTCCCATCACTCAATCCTAATGCAAGAGCCTTACAACAATAGAAAACAACCACAACATGCAGTTCGAAATAAAAAAAAAACGCAATTAAAATAAAGATCACTCGTTTTCTTCCTAACCCTAGATTTTCCAGCACTTCATGGCGGCGGTTTAGGAGGTGGACGAGGCAGTAGTATTGTAGCTTCTTCCTCACCACGTCTCTTATTCATCATGTCTCTTCTTTCTATTCTACCAATTCCTATAATTTCTAATATGTTTGTTATAATAAGAAAACCACAGTTTTATTCATAATAAAAATATCAAAAGTAAAGAAAAATATTTATAAATTATTAATAGAAATGGAAAAAATAAGATAAATTTAAAATGAAAATAAAAATCAATAATAATAATAATAATAATAATGCAAAAAAACCTAAAAACATTAAAAAATATGTAGGCCACTGCCACCACATCTTCCATCTCTCAACATCATAGTTCCGAGGACTGGAAAGAATGTCATCTTGTGTCAAAAATGTCACATTTCTCTGAAAATGTTAAGAAAATGACATTATTAATCTTTGAAAATTATCAACTTTCTTTTCAAAAGTGCCATCACGGTGACATTTTGTTTCAACTTGGAATTCTTTTCCGAAGATCAGAGGTGGCGGTGCTAGATGGTGGCTGAGGTGGTGGTTGAGGCGTGTGTATTTTTTTTAGTTTTAAATTTTTCATTTTATTTTTTATACGTAGTATATTTTTTTTGGAATTTAAATTTTAAGCTCATGCATATTGTTTCAATTTTACATTTATTTAGTCCTACTTAAGTAAATCTCCCAAAATATAAAGGTAATATAATAGGGATAATAAGTATTGTAGAAACGAAAAAGTAAAAGAGAAGATATGAATATGTATGAAAGAGAGTATGAAAAAGCAGAAATAATATGAGTAATTGAGTACTTTCAAAGGTAAAGCTTATTAAAATAGAGGATTGTTAGAAAAATTATACACAACAATACTTTCAAAGAGGAAACTATATCAAATAAAAGAATACGGAGATAATACTATAAAAGATTTAAATGTTATAGAAAAAGTTGAGAAATTGACTTAAATAGAAGTAAAACTGTCCTGAATTTTCAAAACGGGACAACTATAGTTTCTATTTAAAATTAAAGTCATGACTATAATGATTGAAGAATATTGTCATTCATAAAAAAAGGGATACTGACATGTCAATGCCTACGACTGCAACTATTTTGACAATAATAACTCCAGAATGACAACAAATATTTTCTTACTCCTATTTTGAAAATAAAAATATATCAACACTTTGTTGAATTTCTCAATCATTCTTATTGGAACTTTTCCAAAAAGGTTTTGTTACTTCTCTATTTAAAAAAATATGGACTGTTAATATGTGTATCTGGAGTCCGTGTTCCCTTCGCCTTGCCAATGTTGAAAGTAGGGGTGGACTGTGGACATATCGGTTTTCGGTTTGGTTTTTATCGGTTTCGGTTCGGTTTGGAACAGGTTGGAAGAATTGTTACCAAACAAAAACATACGGAGTACTAATTTTCGGTTCGGTTCGGTTTAGTTCGGTTTGAAGCTGCTATTTTTTAATAATATATGAAGGTTTTTTGAATTTCTTTAGCTCGGTTTAGTTTTGTTCGTTTTTTATCGGTTCTGGTACGGTTCGGTTTAATACGGTTTGGAAGAAATTGTATCAAACTTAAACCAAATTGCATACAGTCCGATTTTGGTTCGATTTAGTTCGATTTAGTACGGTTCGGTTCTGTTAAACTAGTGGTGGACTCGGTCCGGGTGGCCCGACCCGGAACCGGCACAGGACCGGCACTGTTCCGGCCCGGTCAGTGACCGGTCCGGGTAGGCCCGACCCGAGGGGTTTCCGGTCCAGGCTCGGGTCACCCAAAACATGAACCGGCCCAGCCGGTTCGGGCCCGGTTCCGGGCTTTTTTTTCTACTTTTTTTTAAATCCCCGGGTTGGGCTGGGTATTTTGGGCCATTTGGGGTGGTTTGGGGGGTCGGGGTAATTAGAAAAAGGAAAAAAAATGTAAGAGACCCGAGGCCCGGTCCGGACCCGGTGGCTACCCGGGCCGGTCCCGGTCCCAACATTTCCTAACCGGCGACCCGGTCGGGCCTAGGCCCGGCCCGGGCCCAAACCGGCCCGAGTCCACCACTGGGTTAAACCAAACCGATAAAGTGGAGCTAGGAAACATGTCCATATCAAGAGTAGCAAATTCGATCAATTCCATTCTTCTTTTTTTTTTTGCTTAATTCAAAGACGTTTCACCATCAATAAACCAACGCCACCGTCATTGCCGGCGCGGCCGGCCTTCAGTAAAGTGGACGCCAAGCTTTACTTTGGAACAAATCCAAATCTTCACTTCTTTGTTAATAACTAAACTTCACTTCTTTTTCCAACTAATTAACAGCAGCACACTTCAATTTGTGCAAGGTAAAAAACATCATTTATTTAATTATTTTGAAAATGGCACGACATTTTGAAAAATGATCAATATATATAGATAATAATACAAAATCTTTGGAAAATCATCACACCATTACTAACAACCGATCCTAACGTCTGTTCTGCACTTAACACGTTTATGTATTACGAGTATATAAACACACACAAATACATCGAAATTATTGAACTGACATTAACAAAATTTAGTCTGGTTGGTTGGTCTTCATAACCGAGAAACGTTAACTACCCGGGGGCGACGCAGATCGGACATGGAAAGCAGCAGCAGCGCGGAGGTGGGGGCGGGCCGCGGCCGCGTCCAGATCGACACCGCGAAGCCATTCCGGTCGGTGAAGGAGGCAGTCCTTTTGTTCGGCGAGAGGATTTTGGGTCCTGAAATTTATGCCAAACAAGTCAATACTCTTCATCAGGTTTGATTTTTTCTCCATTTACTTAGGCGACGTTTACTTTTTTTTCTTCATTAAGTCTGAATGGGTTAAGACGTCTATCTGAATTAAGTTATTTGTCTGCATTAAGTGACATTGAGACAACAAACTGTTTATTAAGTGTGCTAAATGAGAAGTCTGAATCATCTCAAATGACCAAATAACCCTCATGTGTGGAACAAGTATTGAATGTACATTTTCAGTTTACTTTCCTTATTCTGAAAGATAATTTCATATGCCTGAAAATAATAATACTATGAATTACTTAAATAAAAGAGTCATACTCCATATTTACATAATAAGAAAAAGTCAATAATTTTACGAGAACAATATTTTAAATTTAAATATTTCTTTATTAGCAATCTTTAAATTTAAGCATATTCATAAGAATTCTTATGCACGGATATACTTTGATCAACGGTTGCATTTCCAAATATAACCGGTGTGTAACTGCGTATTCATAAAACATTCTGTATTTTTTTTTTTTGATAAACATCAATGCTTATACGCCAGACTAATATTCATAGCTAATTCCTTTGACCAAATTGCACACCAACTAATATTTGACGGTGAAATTACATTTTTAATGAGAAATTACATCATTGATTGAGGATAGCTATTACAAATTTACAATTTTGGACAATAAAAGCAACAAGAAAAATCATTACAAATACTCGACAGGTTCTGTTCCAAAAAGCTTGTTTTTTGCTTCATTCTGGACAACCACTTTTATAGTTTCTAAATCACTTCACATACATAAACCAATGCCCTCAGCTCTTCAGGTGCACATGATTTCAGTTCTCAACAACCAATATTGAAGAACAAACCACTAAACCATGCACGAAAAAGATGATATTAGACTTGGGAAAAATTGGAGAAGTAAAAACAAAAAAAAAACAAAAAAAATCAAAAAAACAAAACAAAAAAAAACAAAAAAAAATGGAGAAGTAAAATGCTAAAACGGAGAACATAGTGCAAAGATAATACACAAATGTGGTAACAGGCCCAAAAAATTGCAGACTAGTGCAGGAAGAAGCTAGCAAGATAACAGACAAATGTGGGAGAATCATGCCAAAAAATGCAGAAAATTTACCCAAACTTTTAAGAAAAGAAAAGGTATACAATTTGTATGTAGGAAAGTCATGCCAAAAAATGTAGGAAAAGCTGTCCAAAATTATATATATGCAGAGCAAAACTAGCAAGAAAACAGGGAGTTATGTACAGTTTTGCATACCAATCATGAAAGCCCTGCATAAAAACCTGCCCAACACTATTTGTCATTAATAATAGAGAAAAATAATTAAAGTACCCCAAATTTTGAAGGGGTGTGAAATGAACACCTCAAACTTGCATTTGTAATTTAAATATCTCATACTTTATATAAGAAGTTATTTTAGCACCATAGTCAAATATTATTTCTTTCAAAATGTAAACTTAATAGTTTTAATTGCACAATTTAAAATATTTTAGAATTCATGAGGACACGATTAACATTCTAAACTTTCATTGCAAAACAAATAATGTTATTCCCAAGCCCAATCTATATAATTGCAACACTTTTAATTTGCTACTCATAAATAAGACATGAAGAGTATTTTAAATTATGCAATTAACCTCATAAATTTACATTTTCTGAAAGAAATAAGACATGACACTGATGTGAAAATAATTTTTTATATATAGTTTGGGGTATCTAAATTCCATATGCAAGTTTGGGATGTTTACCACACCCCTTCAAAGTTTAGGGTATTTTTATTATTTTTCCCTTAATAATAAAGAATAGTAAGTAAAATAATAAAAAAAATGTTTGCTCAATAAAAAAGGACGACTTTATTTAAGAATTCCGGACTTCATTAATTGGAGTATTAATCTAACATGGAATTAATATATTACGGAGTATGTTAATGTCTAAATAAGCAATACTCCCTCCGTCCCATTTATATTGTCCCGTTTTACCTTTTCGGGAAGTCCCACTTAAATTGTCCCATAACATATTTGACAAAGTTTGTGTGGCTCTAAATCATTCTTACTTTATTCTTACTTTATCAATTAATATCAACCACACAAACCCACTTTTCTTAATAACCGTGTCACCCTCTTCCGGGACAATATAAATGGGACGGAGGTAGTATAATTCTGGACTTAAAAAATCTCTATGCGCCCGTTTTAGTGTTCGAACTATTAGTTGAGAATTGAGATGGAAAATGTACACCGGTTAGTTGTATGAATGAATGAATTTAGGAGTAGACTATTTTACGGTCATTTATAAATTTGCATGTGAAGTCAGGTACATACAGAAACAGTAATTGGAGTTGGAGAAAAGCAAACAAGATTGGGAGCGGTAAAAGCAGAGCTTGAAGATGCAAAGAAAGGGCTTCAAAAGGCAAAAGAGGAAGAATTGTTCATGGCACATTGTCTTCAATCTCTTAGGGAAGAGCTTGAACAAACAAAAAGGGAAATCCAGCAGCTCAAGGCGGCTGCAAAAGACGAGCACCACAACAAGCAACTAGCTTTCTTAGATCCTGAGATCGAAGAGCTCAAGTTCATCGAGAAGGTGCTCCCGAATCGTGAGGTCGACACTCGTCATGACAATGAGGAAGTGGAACTTTTTGAGAGAAAGAGGACAGTCAAGTTTGCTAGTCCTCCGTCGCTGACAAGGGTGATCACTCCAACAGATTATTTTGTCACCGAAAGTGATCCAGGGAAGACTAGTAGCCCTTCACAAGACAAGAAGAAGTTGAAGAGGAAGCATCTGATTCCTCTAATGGGAGCATTGTTTGCAAAGAAAAAGGAAAATCAATGATTCAATTCTGCTCATGTAAATCCCTGAAGATGAAGGCCTTTTAGGTACTGTCCTCATCAAAACAAAAATGAAGTAAGAAAATGTTGTGTTTCGTGTAAGATCGATGTTTAATTCTGAAGATTGACACCATATCATTTTAGTTACAAGTTTTTTACCTAAGCATGGTTCTCAGTGTTGTTCTGATGTATTCAGTGTTTGGAAGTAGTTCTTTTGAATATGTTGCATAGTAGATAAAAATACTCCAACAATATAATTAAACATACTTATTGTTGGATGTAATGTTGTAAGAGCATTAGATTGAGTCTTGTTGAATTGAGTCTTGTAGAGTATGACTAGTAGAAATTTTCTTAGTTACGACAATCCTCTTGGTACATTTAAACACCTAATATTAAAAGTTATGTAAAGCTTAACAATTGATCAAATTTATTGTAAAGCTTGAAACTCTAATACCATGTAAAAAGCTGTAAAGCGGAATGAAAAACTAGATTGGTTTGTTTAATCAACATAGTGCACAAGAGTTTATATAGGACACATGAGTTCACATAATCCAAAACTGAATCAAATTTGATAATGAAAGAAATATGATAAGAAAAGGGTACTAATAAATGTATTTGGTGTTCCCAACATAATACTTTGTATTTAGTAAGAATTTTCCAAAAAACTTGTCAAATTGACTTTTCTTGATCAATAATAGTCAACTTTGACTAAATGTATTTGAATTTTCCAAAAGCATCTTATATGCTTGTGCGTTTTCGTTGCAAAGGTAGCCTCTTACGAATCATCATCTTGGAGTGACGTAATAAGGGAATTACCTTGTAACTATTTACTACGTATTATTGTTATTATTATTATTATTATTATTAAATATAGAAGATCTCCGTCCTCCCTATCTATGATAGGACTATAGGAGTGATGTCCTGTCCATGTATATTATTGTTCATAATAAAACTAAATATCTTACATGCTAACTCACACATTTATGTAAGATAAAGTTTTTGTTTTGGCTTTCTAAATAGTCTTTTAGTTTATGTCAAATCATGAAAAAACAGGCAAAAAGTAAGAGTGTGTAGCAACATTTCTTATTAAAAACTCCTTTTATAGAAGTGCGAACTTCACTTTGACATTTAAAAAATGAAAGTGAGGACCTTGTTTTGGAAAATGGGCATAAGAAAAAAGGGGAAGAAGAATGGATCTCACCATCCGCGGCTCCTAGACCAACGGGCACAACGTGAAAAAACGTGGAAATTACCCGTTTGGGCCACTTTTGTGGCCCATATATCATTAATGTCCCAACTGTTTTTCCTTTTTCACTTTTAATCTTTTTTATTTCAGTTTTCGACTGATTCTGTCCACCTCCTCTGTATATCACCGGAAAGACGCAAATCAATTCCCTATTACCGTAGCTCTTCACTTTTGCGAGAACCGCTGGGAAGTTTGGAGAGCGGTAATGAGTTCCAACTCTCATCTCAGGAGCGGCACCATCCATGGAGCTATTCTGTTCTGGAGATGGAGGATTAGGAGTCCCCAAAAACTCGTCTCATGTATGTTCTTCGCAAACGGATGACAGATCATCTCCTTGGCAAAATTTGAACCAGGAAAGCTCTCCTTCTCTAAAATAAGTAGGTAAATCAGAACAGGGCTTTGACGACACTAGCTTCCGACGGTAATTGGACGGTGGCCCCTCCTGAGCTTCGAACAACGATTCACTGCTCTTCCCCACTCACCGCACCTCTAGACGAAATCGACTCTTTTGTCTTCGTCAACAAGCACCACACAGACTACAACATCGAAGAACTTCAATCGGCGCTTCTCTAGACGAACTTCGATCAACATCAAATTAGCACAACGACACTTGATGTAAATTGTTTCTCCATTGAAGTACTAAGAGGTATTCAAGGTCATTTAAGTTGTTTTTTCCCACTCCAATTACTTAGATGTATCACTAACCAAATGTTAAATTGGTTTTCAATTGTTAGATTCTGTTGTGAGGATGTGAAACAATGAGGATGAGGCATTTTCCCTTGAGGCAACTGGTCGATTGGCACAAATTGAGGAGTAAACGAGCTTCAATCTTCACCAAGTTACAGTATGTTGTTTATGCATTAATCCTTCATATTTTATAGTCAAATTTCCTGAGTTTGCATTCATCTAGTGACTCCTAGTTCATATGCTTCTATTGTTGATTAGAGATGATGGATCGATGTACCTAGGTGTTTAAAGCCTATTAGTGGAGGCCTTTTGGTGCCTATTACACTGTCATGTGGTTATTTGGTCTTTACATAGGGTTTCCTTGCAATATTTTATAGCATTCTGAGTTTTGTTTTCTGTTATAAGATAAATTTTGTGTCCATTCTCCTTTTCAGTAATCTATTTTTGCTAATCTGCATATAGGGATAAAAAATTCATAGCTTCTTTTGTGTTTTTTGATTCATTGATGTTAACTATGGGGTTGGTTGTTTTATTATATGAGTAATACTTTGTATAGTTTAATTATTATCAATTTATGATATTTATTACATTTGAATCTAAAGAAATCAGTGAAAAATGTTAATATAATTCATTGGATTAATGTCATGGTGCTTAGACTTTCACTTTGGTTTGTTGTTCACATAATACATTACCAGGTGATATTAACGGTGTTCAAACTTGAAGGTTGTGATCATTAATTAATTTTTTGTGGATCTTTGAGAAATTATTAACCTGAGGATGATAAGAGAGATGAACTCACAGGAAAGCATTAAAGCTGCTATGAATCTAGTGCTTCAAATGTTATCTCAGTGAACACCGAGTTTCACACCGCCTTTCTCTCGCAACAGCTCTCCATCCCTCTCATTTTGCGAAATTGTTTGGAGATCGGCCGGGAAAATCGCATTAGTGCATTACAATGAGTCGGGTTAACGATCCTAACCCTTTTGACGAAGAAGTGCATCAAAGCTATGAAGTCAATCCATTTGCCGATTTGCGAATGGGGGCACTGCTACTAGATCAGGTTCACCATCTGCTTAAATGTTGGTTAATACTTTTGGATTTGGCCAAAAGGATGATTGTACTGTTGATATACCACTAGGTTCAGTGAAGGCTCCCAATACAAAAGAGTAGGAAATGGCAAATTGGGAAGCTGATTTGAAAAGGAAAAGAAAAATAAACGAAGAGAAGATCAGCTCTCTGGTGCTGGTGTTCCTGTTGTGAATGATAAGAATACGTAATTGGCCTCCCCTTTTGTTGTAATACTTTTAAAAAAAAATTGTTGCTTTTTGTTGTATCATATGTATTATATTTTGTTGCATCGTGTTTCATTTTGATGCATCGTGTTACTTTTTGTTTCACCATGTTGCTAATTGTTAAATATTGTTTTTAGTTTATTTAGGTGTCTATTTACCTTTGCTACTTCCTCAAAAAAAAATCTATATAGCTAGATTTATATAAAAAAATCTAAAATGATAAGTTTGAATTTACAATTATAAACAACAAGAAACATATAGAAACAATAAAAAAAACAAAACAATCAGAATTATCAATAAAAAGTAGAAAGAAATCATAGGATAAAAACTAAAAATAAAATGATATACAATAATTTAAAAGTTATGTGTAATTATTAATTTTTACATGGATTTTTTTTTTCAGAAACATCAAGAAACAATATAAAACAAAAATTCCAAAGCTATCAACAAAAATAAACAAAATGCAACAAAGGGTAAATAATAAAATGGTGATAATAATTAAAAAAATTAATATCACAAAAACTTATAAAATTCATATATATTCTTCCTCTATTTTTGTGTTTATAATTTTAGGTGTTCATATTTTTTACTATTTAATTTGTTTGATTAAACGTATCATTATTTTACATTTTCTGCAGCGTTTTTGTTTATAAATTATAAAATATTTAGACAAAACTTCAATAGAAAAATCAATTTTTTTCTGTTCTCCACTATTTTAAAGTCTTATATTTTACTGTCGAGTTTGAATATTTTATAAGTTTTCCATACGTTTACTTTACACTTTTCTGATTTTTAAATTTAAAATTTTAAAAACTAATTTACCAGTTTTCAATTTTGCACTGTTTACTATACATTTTAATTTTTTCTTGAGTTTTTTAATTTAATTCTAGTTCATGTACTTTTATTGTGTATTTAATTATCATTATTACTATTATTAGTAGTAGTATTATCGTTTAATTTTGTGATGAACTTTACATTTTATCTAAAACTAGAAAAATATTAACAATTCTTGCACTAGATAATAAGAGAAGAAATATGTGCGTAGCCACTACACAAAGAATAGAGGTTCCAGTGGTCCGTTAGAGAGTATGTCTATTTTTGAAAGGAAAAGTTACGTTAGTCCATTATTGAAAGAACATTCCCGAAGTGACAAAAGTGATATAATTTTAGCTTTTGAGCTTATTTGTGATAATTTCCCAAAAAAACCACCGAATCAAGTCTCTTCAACCGACTCAAACTCAAGCCGTCCAACTCTTCAAATTCAATTTATGCTTCTAAGTCGCCTTTTGCACCAGCTCAAATTCAATGTCTTTTGGGACGGCAAGATCATAAGGAAACGGTTTATCCCATAAACATCACTAACTGTTCCACATAGGATACTACCAGCTCAATGTCTCAATATTAAATACTGATATATATAGACTTGGACCCCCGGGTCTCACGACTATTGGGCTCGGACAGCGGCCCACATACATCATTTTCCACTATTTATTCATGTGTATCCATTAGAATAGATTACATACCATTTATTAGCCATTTATTGGCCTTTTATTATAACTGGGCCTTCCAGGCCCAAACCTGGAAGCCCAGCCCTCTTTTCTCCTGTAAATACTCCCTATGGGAGCCATGCAAGGGGATGGTTGATTGAAATTCATTATACATATCACTTTATCTCTCTAGCTCTCACTTCTCTCTAGAATTAATACTCTATCAAAATGTTTAGCTTAACTTTGGTATGAATAAACTAGACTTAATGAAAACGGTGCTAAAAAATTTCATCAAACAATTCCACCGGGAACCGCCTAGATTGATGGCGGCCGGACAAAGCCTCCTATATAAGGGGTGACTTGCACTTTCTAAGTTAGTTCGAGAGCCTATTTAACCCTTTAACCTAAACAAAATAACGACCAACAACAACGACTTATAATTATGATAAATATTTGTGTTTTACTTGAGAAATTAATTTTATAGACAATTTCCATTGAATTCAAGAGCGAGGAAGCAAAGAATGAGAATGATCCAAATTCAAGTGGTAGCTAATTAATTTTTGAAAATATAAGGTTCATTAATAAGTATAACATTACTTTAGGTGGACTAATAGTAATTTTGGGGAAATGCATTTTTGAAATGTAAGAATAAGAATACCATATTCCAAACAATGGATAAAAACTTACCTTAAAACAGACTATATT